TTTTTTTTTGGTTCTTCGAGATAGGGTTTCTCTGTGTAACCCTGGCTGTCCTGGAACTCACTCTGTAGACCAGGCTGGCCTCGAACTCAGAAATCCACCTGCCTCTGCCTCCCAAGTGCTGGGATTAAAGGCATGTGCCACCACTGCCTGGGTCCACATACCCCTTATACAGAGGAAGGGGAGGGGTGATTGAGGAAGACATAGGCCATCAACACCAGGTCTCCACATGAACCTGTATACACAGGCGCATGATACAGGAGAAACTTGAAGTAATAAAACTGATGCTATAGAGGACTTACTAATAAAGTTGCTTAGGAAACATTAAGATACACAAAGTAGAATACAACTATACCAGTTTCAAAGAACACTCCTCTAGGGAACAGCTCAAGGGGACAGCACAGAATCACAGCCACCACTGAGTCCTGGTCTATCTTTTAAGTCCCCTGTCCTCTTACCAGGAAAAACATAATTCTGTCAGGTAGACAGAATGGACTAGGGTAGCAACCACTCAAAATAACAGCACAAGTGTACTTAAATAATCCTGCAGCCAGGCATGGTGGCACATACCTTTAATCCTAGCACTTAAAGGCAGAGGCAGAATCTCTGCGTTCAAAGCCAGTCTGGTCTATAAATCTAGTTCTAGGACAGCCAGGGGGGAAAAACAGTCCTGGCAATATTTTTGCTGTATAAGTCTTCCATCTGCCCAAGTGGTCAGAATTACAGTCTCCTGTCTCTGTTTAAACTGTATAAAGTCACAGGGCAGTGGTGGTGCACACTTAATCCCAACACTCAAGAGGCAGAGGCAGGTAGATCTTTGAATTCTAGGCTAGACTGGTCTATAGAGAGAGTTCCAGGAAAGCCATGGCTACACAGAGAAATCTCTCTCAAAATAAATTAATAAATATATAGTACAATTCAGAGCAGGCCTGAGATTTAAGGATGATTGTGTGTGTGTGTGTGTGTGTGTGTGTGTGTGTGTGTGTGTAATTCATACGCCGAGGGTAGATCTAAGTTAATGAAATCTTCTGCTAGTGGCTCCTTTTTGGGCATCAGCCAGAGCTGGAATACACTATAATTACAGAGGGCTTTTTATTTTTTTGTTTTCCCCTAAGGGTATTGAGTAGATTTTGACAGGGGAAGCAGCATAGTTCTGCATCACACAAACATTTGGAAATGCATATACACAAACACACACTGTTCTAGAATTACTATGCCTTCCCAGTGAGAAGTCATAAGCAAAAGGGAGGCCCTCAACAGCTCCCAATAGTCTCTGAGCAGCTACTAGAACTGGAAGCTTGGCCAGTCTCTGACAGGGCCTTTTCCTGTAGCTTTAATTTTTTCAAGGTCTATTTTTTAATGATGGTACTTAAGTACTTTAACCTACATTTTAGCCTACCACCCACCAGAGGTAGCAGAAAAGAAAAGATATTGGGGAAGTGGACCTGTTTAGAAATGGTTCTTTGGAACAACTCCCATCTGTGTTTTCAGGAAATCAGCAGTTCAGTTCACAGGTCAGCAATGACAGCTCAATCCACTCACAAACACTTCACAAACACAGCAGCAGTCCAGTTCAGCAGATGAGTTAGCAACGACTTAGCAGAGACAGTCAGGTCCCCAGCCTGGGCATAAGTCAGCAGGAGGGACCAGCAGGAATGCCAGGAGTTCTCAGCTGTGCCTCTCTCAGGGAAGCGAAGATCAATGAAAACCAACAAGTGTTGAACAGCTAACTCTATAAGCAAGCCAAGCTCAGCCTCCTTCCAAACAACACCTGTCCTCCATGTGTCTTGACTCTGCATGTGAGTCTGTCTTAGCTGACATCACTCTGCCAATCAGCCCAGTCCGTGGAAGTGGCAAGAAGCCGCAGCACATCACCAGAAGTTTTTTGGTGAATTTCTGTCTATGGAGTCCTGACAAATGCAGCTCAATTATGTAACGTATGGCAGACCACACGTGCCTATTACTAGGGAAGAATCTTTCATCACAGGTCCTTTCACATGCTTGCTTTAGCAGAACATCCTCTCTCCTGTGTCTGCTTCAGTTAAACATTCCTCCATGAGTCTGCCTTAGTCTTTCACCTGTGTCCACTTCAGCTAAATGTTCCTTCATGTGTTTGCCCCAGCAAAACACCACCCCACACAACTGACTTTCCAAAAAGTCTTAAGTTTCCACTTCACTTTCCTCTGATCTTCCTAGGCCTATCATTCAAAAGGCACATTCTGAAATGTTTTGACCCAGTTCCTTAACACTCAGACAGAGGCCATTGAACTACAAATGGTCTGACCCCAGAGACAACTTATCAAATGGTAAATCAAGAGCATCCCGAGTGCTCACTCCCTATGGTACAGAACTTTTTTGTCTTTGTTTCTTTGTTTGTTTTGAGACAGGGTTTCCCTATGTAGCCCTGGCTGTCCTGGAACTCACAGAATCCTCCTGCCTCTACCTCTTGAGTGCCAAGATTAAAAGCATGGACCATGCACTATCACCTCTGATTTTTTTTTTTTTTAATGATCTCACTGACCCTGGGAGAGTTTACTACTCACCAAAAACTTTAGAGAAAGCAATAATATTGACTGAGAGAACATTTTTCTTTAATAAGAATGTTAGGACCTAGGTAAAATATTAAGGCCTAAATGGAATGGTAAGGCCTAGGTAAAATGTTAAGGCCTAGATAACTGTTACCTGGATAGCCTGCCATTATAAGGATACTTTCTCATATGTTTCTGCCGTTACTAAGAAACTTTCAAATGCCAAGATTGATTGCATATTCTGTTATGTTTTTTGCC